ATACTCCAAGGCTCAGAAAAAAGATACATCTACTGAAATTTGTTAGTAAATGGATCTCTGCTCCCACTGATTCCATTGAAAAAGTCCTTACAAAATTATTAGAGACCAAAATGCATCATCATAATTTTCAAAAAGTTATTTTCCGAATAGGACTTTTGTTTTCTGTTGAGATTGGATAATATTATTAGTATTACTGCCTTTTTATTATTATTTATTTCTGGGTTTATAACTTAAATTTAAATCAGGCATTCAAAGTTGTTTGTTGTTCTGGGTTTATAAATAGCAAGAGCAGACTGGGATGTCGAGAGAATGTTGCCTCCTGTTTATCTACTTCTATATCTTTTTTAGGGATTAAATAGGTCAATATATTTTATTTTTAATAATTTGAGGTTTTATATAGATATGTGTATATGGAGGAAGAGGAAGTACAAGATTCCTTTATCCTCGTAGTAGTGTCTAGGGACATATTTATTTTCATCCACTGAAACAAAGTTCAAAATATTATTAGCCTGTATCAGATTAGTTTTAGTAGTCTGATATCTGCTGGATATATCACAAATGCTCCTGTAAAGGCATAAAATTTTGGGGACTACTGAACGTCTCTTTCTGAAAAAACAAGAAGATAGTACATATTATATTGCCTAATTTAAAGATATTCTTCTCAGTTCTGAAGCTGTACAGATACATATCTGATATCATTACTCGACTCATAATGTGTAAAAAGATAGATAAAGACTATGGTGATAAAATCCCTGAGATGAAATTCTGCATCTTTGAAATTTTTCTGGTGCCTGTCTTCCAGAACCTGCTTTTGATAGTATCATCCTCTTATTAAGAATCCTGTAGCTCAGGTGTATCATTGGTGAAATATTTTTGTTCATGGTATTGTTCCCTGACATTATTCCTCACCACTGAAAAACATTTTGTGGTCCCTCTGCGTTTTTAATTTATTTTTTTTCATCTTTGAATGAGATTTGGGGCAGTGAATAAATACAATAAATGCATAAATATATTATAGCACGCTTGCTGCTTATATGGATCAATAAAAACAATGGGTCTTATTTCATTTATATTAATGATGGTTTTGTCTTGCTCTGGGAAACTGGAAAAAAAGATTTTACTTGAATTTATAGATCAAGAAAGAATACTTACCCCTGTGCTTCTGATTACTATACATCTACTAACCAGATCAATAGCAGAATTTAGTAATGTTAGTCTGATTTAAAGTATGTGGTATACAGTAATAAATCATCACAGTTTTCCCTGAAGTGTTTATTCTTATGAACAACAGACTAAAATCTAGAATTACCTTAAAGTTTTTCTCTAATGTTAAACTAATTCAAGTATACCACCTACGTTTGGTTTACTGTGAACATACAGACTGTTAATTGACTGGTAAAAACAGAATTTTTGGAAATTTTATTAAAATGTTTTAAGTTATTTACTCATCTTACCTAAATTTCAGTTTTTATTTTTAAAGGCTCCAGTACACTCAGCTTTTAATACTGGTATCATCAAACACCTTTTCAGTATTCTAAAGGGAATAGTCAATACAATAAGCACAGCAAATGCGGCTGTCTTTGAACGTGATCAAACTAAATTTGACATTGTAAAACAAGGACTCTGAAAACATATCACTAAGATATCACTTATTTTCTTGTTTGTTGGCATATTTGCAAGTATTTCAAGTACATTTTGTATTGTACATTGCGTGCATACTTTGCGTGTCAAAGGTAAACAGCAAAGGATGAATTTCCAAAAAATATACAGTTTTTTTACAGTTGCAATATAAAAATATTTGCTATGTAGCAAATTGTTTTTCTGACTGTTTCATGTTGTATATTGACAGCTTTGCTCTTGCTTCGTTTGTGCAAATTCCCCTAAAAGTAAATGTCTTCAATATCAGTTGACAAGCATATTTGTTAAATAAATGGCAAGTTTACTTTACCAAACTCCAAAGTTTGTGCTATAAATCATCTCAGGTTTGGTATGTGAAACCTCAGTTGAATTGGGTTATGTATTAACTCTTACATACACCTTGCTTACCTTTTAATTACCTGGAATTATAAAGTACTTCATTCATACTATAGAGTAGCTATTAGTATTGATACTACATAGTAGCTATAGAGTAGCTATTAGTTGTTGGTTTTAATCCTCTTCTGTCAGGGGTATGCCTGGTAAACAAAATTATTTACTGTCTCAAGGAACAATGTTTTATTTTTTACTATGCATAAAATATGGTCCTATTTGGTGATTGCTGTTTCTGGTTCTGATTTATCACTCTCAGTTTTGCACAAAGTTACTGCATTCTCTAATTTTCAGTTGACTTAGAAACTTTTAAGAAGAAATCATGGTAATAGAACTACAAGAATAAGATTATCACATGTTAATATTCCAGATTTATAATCAGTTGCTATAGCATATTTTGTTTTTTAATATATTCTTAAATTGTTGACGTTATTAACAACATCATTGCTACTTCTTTCTCAAAAATGTGACTGTTTCACAGAATGTGATATGAGACAGATATAGACTAATCTATGCATGTGTGGCTTTATGGAACTACACTTTTCAATGTCATACCTATCCCATTATCACAGTTTTAGGTGAGTTACAAAGAGAGTGAGCTGGAAACCTTGTAACAAAACATAATTTTACTGAAAAATATTAATCAAGAAAAACCAAATAATAAACTTTTTCTTTTTCATGTACATTTATTTTAATAAAAAATAAAAAAAATCTTTGTTATCTCAGAAAATAATTTCAGAGTGCAGAAAAATGAAAGATTATATAAGAGAAGCCAGATCACAGCAGAATCATCAATAATTTGAGAATTCACTTGAGAGTAGTGGAAAAATTGAAGCTGAAGCTTATGATTTAAACACAAAAATGAAATTTAGTTATTTTTTTCATGTTTCACAGTATTCCCTAATGAGTCAGATATTTTCATGGAGTTCTGTTACTTTTTTATTTTTGAGCATCGCTAAAAAAGAATGAAAAAGGTCGTCTTACATTTCTCCAGTGAAATGAAAAATTTTTTTTGTCGATCCGAATCAAAAATAAAAGGTGTCTTGAAACTGACATTTTCCTTAACCTCTATCTTCTCCTTTCTGATGAAATACATGTAGTATGGGTTGTAAAGACAAGTACTACTTATAAAGTAGCTTATAAAGACAAGTACTTCAACTACAAAAAGACAGATGCTTTGTATCAATTTGGTGGTACTCAAGTAAAATAAAATATCGAAAAGGATATTAATTAAAAAAAAAATACTGTTCCACTTACCAAGAAATATCTGATAATGAGATTAGATTTTTTTGTGTGTTTAGTGGAAAACATGAGAAGATTTCAGAGGATTAATTAATTATGCAATTTTTTAACATCTTGATTTTCTTACTATTATGCATAAGTATTGATGTTTTTGCTGCAGTGTTATTGCAAAATGTATTTTACTGTTAATAAGTGCAATATAATTTCAAGTTGAATTCAATACTACTAGCATTATTTGCCTCTGTATTATTGTGGAGTCTTTGTTCTGTTCTGATGTAACTGCACATCTAATTACACATAATTTTAAAGTGGACCAAAAGTAAGACACTTTTTTTTTTTAAATTGTAAATGAATATGTGTCAACCTTAAATCTAGATGCGGATTTCTGTTTAAATTCTTATGTTTAGGCTTACAAATTTTGTGACTAGAACAGCACAAACTATCAAAAATATTTTTTTAAACTAAGATTAAGAAGATTTACAAGTGGTTTTCTCTGCTTTACTCAATTAAAGCAAATCAGCTTCTTCCCTACACAATTTCCCGTACCCTGTCTGTCTGTGTCCTCTTGACTCTCTGTACTTGACTGCAGCTCCTGGGCTATGATGCACACATATACGTGGACACACACATTTATATATGTGAATATGCCAAACTGGCTGTTCCTCAGTGTACTTATATTCCTATTTACACCTCTAAAGGAAAGTGTTTCTCTTCCCTTTGGACCAAGTTACAATCCTCATAACATACATCAGTTTTCCAACTTTCCTATTGTGGTTTTTGTTCATAGAAATATGTCCTTCTTTAATTACCAGAACCCCAGTGTAACAAAGTATTATGACAAAGTAACAAAGTGTAACAAAGTATTATGAGCTTTCTGATATTAATCCGTCAGAATGGCATCCACGTCTTTAACCACAAACACTCTCAATTCTCAATTATAGCTGTCAATAAAGACAATTTATTAAAGCATTAAAGATTCTTGCATATAATTATTCTGTCATTTTTATCTATATGAAAGTTTGAGAAACTTCTAGTATTTTACATAGAGACAGAGTAACCATGATTACTGCTTGGGTAGCAACAATGTGCTTTATTTTCTTTTCAAATTATATGGCTCAATTTTGCTCTAAGTGAAAAATTCATTGTTCTCTTAAAATGCAGCTGAATTTTTTATCCTTCAGCATAAATATGCATACAGTGATTTAACTTACAGGATATTAAAAATGACCATGTTTCTGATACTTTTATTTTACTAAGAAAATTACTTTTACTTTTGATGCCTCTCTATCCTACTTGAGCCAGATTACAGATGTCAGGAGTAAATTATATTCTTCACCTTTGCTGCATTTACTCAGTGAGGTACAATTATTTAGTTGGTATTTGAAGACAGTTGTATTGCACAAAGTGCAATTAGTTATATTGCCCTTTGAGTATATATTAATCAAAATCTAATGCAATTATCCAGGACTGTAATAAACGTGTAACAACTACATAAATAAGTAAAATTATGGGTCTTTAAGGAAGTCAGCAGAGTGATGATACCTGTAAATTATTATGAACCAAACCCTTTGGGTTAATTACAATAATTTATTGTAAAATATGCTAAAGTTGCATGCAATTATTAATTAGAAGATATATTTTATTTACACTGATGAAAATCTTATTTACAGACTCATCTCTCAACTACAATTATTTATTTCTAAAATATATTTATTTATTTTATTTCCTAGGTTATTCAGATAAATTTTGAAGAATTTGATCTGGAGATTGGTTATGACACACTGACAATTGGTGACGGAGGAGAAGTGGGTGATCCTAAAACTGTGCTTCAAGTGTAAGTCTTTTGCATTTACAATTTGTATGCATTGAAGAATGTAATTAGTGTGTTTTTTGTGAGACTAAATAATTATTAGGATCAGGTAAATAACAAAAACTAATCTTACTGAGCTTCTAAAATTACTGAAGGTGACAGTTTAAATACATTGTTACATAATTACTACTCTAAATTCAGAAAGAGATGAGCTGGACATCACAAAAGAAAAAGATAAGCTAAAATTAGAAGATTTTAAGATGCATAGTCTGGACATTCATGTGTAGACGTAAATTTTAGGTACTACTGTGCCACCTTTATAAGCGTGTTCTCAAATAGAAAATGTGTAAGAACATAATTGAAAATAGATAAATGGACAACTTATACACAAACTTTTACAATCTCCTAGCAAGGTTAACATGACAAAAGATATGCTATAGAATGTTGACCTTTAAGTGTTTATTGACTATCACAGATTACTCAAAAAAGCAAGTTAATATAGTCATGAAAATTACTACAGGGAAAGGCTGAATAGGATATTACCTAAACCACATATTTCAAATAAGCACTGAATATTGAATAAGATTTTTATCATCCATTGACATTCTCACATAGAATATGTGAACTCAGATATATAGACATACAATATACTTAACAATCACCGATTAACTTCAGAATCCATATTTCTCAAATACTTAACTTGTGGCACTAATTTTCGTTCATTCCACAGTCACTTGAAAATATGCAGAACACTGTAATTGGTATTGTTGTCTGTCATTTTATGTAGCTCCAGTTCTGTTCTGAGTAAATAATTCAGTATTTTCTAGGAGAAATGAATGCCTCTTAAATTACATTTTATTTATTTTTTTTCAAATGAGAATCAATTTTATGAAAAAAAAAATCCAAACTGAAAGTGTGATTTATTGCTTAGAAACCATATTTTGCTTGTAAGGGATTGTCTAATATTTAGAAAATAATTTTTTTAGAGGCTAAATATTATTTACTCGTTATTTTTAAATAAACTGACCTCCAGGAAGTACCTCATGTTATCATTAGTTCAAATGAGTTAGAAATTAAAACAGAGATAAGAACAGAAGGTAATGTTATAAAAGTTTAGTACAAAATATATTTAATCATAAAAAAAACGAATAGCAAAATTAGGATTCCTTAGAATTATATTCGCTATGGTATATTTAATGGAAATGTATTAAAACAACTTTGTGTATTGCAGTTTTCCATTATTCACCACTAGAATGATATCAAGAATTAGTTTACTTGAGTACCCTGAAACCAAGGTTTACCTCTTTCTCTGTCCTAATTTCACCTCATTAATATTAGTAGTTTTACAGCTTTGAACAGAACATACAGCTTTTTCAGGATTTGCAGATTTTTATCATGAATTCCCCCTCAGATTTGTCATTCAGAAGACAGATTATCTGACCTTCTAGTTTTTTAATTGGTTTTATAATCGTTCTATCTTTTCTGTTCTGTTCTATTTTGTTTAATATCTTTGTCAATGGTCAGGACAAGGGTTTGAGTGCACCCTCAGTCAGTTTGCAGACAACACCAAGTTGGTCAGGTGTGTTGATCTGCTGGAGGTTAAACAAAGAGGTGAAGCTCACGGGTCTGTAGTTCACTGGATCTTCCTTTCTCTCCTTTTTAAAAATGGGAGTGATGTTTCCCTTTTTCCAGTAACCAGGGACTTCAGCTGACTGCCATGACTTTTTAAATATGATGGAGGGTTGCCTGGCAACAACATCCACCGGTTTCCCCAAGATCTTGGATGCATGTTTTCAGGCCCCACAGACTTTTGGCTTTTCAGTTTTGTCAAATAATCTCAAACCTGCTCCTTGCTTACAGTGGGAGTGACCTTCTCCCCCAGGTCCCACCTAGAGGGTAGGGGAAAGAAATGGGAAACCAGACTGCCAGTGAAAACTTAAGTCAAAGAACTTGTTGAGTACCTCGGCCTTCTCTATATCCATTGTCACCAGTTCTCCCTTCTCATTTATCAAGGTGGTCACACTCTCCATGGACTTTTTTTCCTGACCAATGTTAGAAGCATTCATTGGACATTGTTCCAATGTCAAATGATGGAAGAAGCTGCCCAGGGAAGTGGTGGAATCACCATCCCTGGAGGTGTTTAGAAGATGTGTAGATGTGGTGTTTAATTACATGGTTTAGTGGTAGACTTGGTAGTGTTTGGTTAACAGTCGTAATTGATGATCTTAAAGGTCTTTTCCAGCCTAAATATCTGACTCTTAGCAATGAGAAGACCGAAATTTGCACAAGTATTTCAGGTTCACTTGCTTTAGGATAATGCAAAGTCTCTTCAGCGGATTGTAGATGTGTTAATTGCTTCTAATAATAAATGTGAGAAGTGGGGAAATACTGTACTTTCTATTTTATAGGCAGTACCAATCATTAAAAATATATTTCTGATAATGCTGGAATTCAATTTCTGCTATTCTTAACATTCCTAAACTATATGGAATCTTCTCTCATGTAAAAAGAACCTTTATTAAGTACCAATTCACCAGGTCTCATTAAAATTTAACTGAAGTATTATTGCTGAATTACAGTATGCATTGAGGCACAGTAAAATAATATTTCAAATTTTGAGTAATGTGGTAAAACAGTCTGTCCAGCTTGTAATTCATTGAGCATGTTAGTATTTTATAAAAGTATTTCTGATGACAACACTTGGTTGGGGAGAAATGATGAACATACAGTATTAAACTTGTCATAAATGTAAAGGAATTCTGAAAAATTTTCTTTAATAAAAAAGTTAATTAGAATTTTCAAGTGTTAACATATGATAAGAGAATCTGTTCTGTAAATAACTAGGTAAATAATTTTAAAGAATTATTACTATAGTGATCCTGGAAAAGCAGAAAAGAGGTACCTCATTAATTAATGGAGTTTTATTATTAAGTAACATTGTATAAACAAAATGTATATAAATCACAAGTATGTTATTTTTGTTTACCAGTGGAATGATTATTCTGTGATCAGAAGTAACAATGGTGAAGTTATTAGGATTGAAATGCATAAAAAAATTACATGGAAGATGGAACATAATTGAGTACTCTAAAAAGCATGTAAATCTTTTCTCCTGTGGGCCATGCAGACTTTGTCTGAGATATGATGCATAACAAATAAATCAGCTGTTGTATCATTTAATTTTTGGATTTTAAATTTTAAAATAATTATCTTTCCTCCAGAAAATTGCTGAAGAATATTAGTTTGAATGTGTCTGGTTTACATGTTGATAATGTCAAAACATTTATCTTCCATTTTATCAGTTAATCAGGGAACCTATCCAAGTGCTTAATCCTCTAGTTTTACTGGGCACTGCTTGATAGGAAGGTTCACAACTGAAAACTGGAGTGGCATTTTAATAGAACTATGCTTCCTAAATTGATAATTACAGTCCTGATTATTCCTACTCTGTGGATGTTAATCACAGAAGTAGCTAAACTGCAAAACCTTTTCAGTACTTGTCATTAAGTTTCCCTGACTGCCTGTAGTTCTGAGCCTATGTATATGTGGACCCAAAAATGTGAGTTTGCTCCACCCTAGGGTGAGTCTGGCACACTGGTGAACTGAAAGCTATACATTTTTTTGTCTCTGTGATAAGATGACTAATATGAAGGCATGTGTTAAGCGTTATTACCAAGGGATAGAGGGGTAGAAGGAAAATAAATGGTGGATCCTCTTTCATACATCAGTCCCAGCACTTTTTTCAGGATGTTTGGAAGTTTGCTTTCAACAGGTAGTCTGACAGTTGCTGCAGTTGACTTTTAAACACAATATGCATCTGGGCACAGATTCCTGTAACACATGTTTGGAAAATCCAGTGCACAAGACAGGAAACCCATTCTTAATCTTTTCGTATGCTTTGTGTATTGGGTGTGCATGCATCCAATCTCCCATATTACAGACTGTCTTCTGCAAATGGAGAGTGTTGCAATTTTCTGAATATCCTCTAAGCCAGCCTTCAGTGTGTGTCACTAGCATGTAGGAGGGGTAGTTCTGGAGTAGTAGAGGAAGAGGTGGAAAACACCCTGCTGAGTATTGTAACTGTTAGGCTGTTTAATAAAAAGAGAGACTTCATAATCACATACTTCCATTTCTACTGCTCACAGTGTTCACTGTTCATCTTTTGAAAAGGAAGGTGTAAGAACTTGCTTCCAGGAGAGAAATCCAGGTAGTGAATCCAGGGTAGAGGAAACCACATAAATCCATGGAAAGAAAGAAAAAAAAGAAAGAATAATTCACAACTAAAGAATTGTGTTATTATCTTAAATAATTCTTAAATGCCATTTTTTCTGAATCTCATTACTCTGTGGCCCCTTCCCAACTCTCTTTTAGGGATCCTGAAGGACTTAAAAGTAGAGCAACAAGTGATTTATGTGTTTTGTTGATTTATTCTTTCTTTTTTAATGTATTTTCAAATGATTTTTTTTTCCTCATGTACTATTTAATTGGAAAGTATTGTTTGTCAAAACTATGGATTTAAAAAAATGTATTTATAATTCATTGCAGCAAATAGAAATATTAAAAAGTGTGATAAGTGTTTATCATAGAAATTATTCTGTCTAACACAACAGAGAGATAAATATTCTCAATGGCCTTAATATTCAAAAAATATACTGTCAACCACCAGTTACAATTACAAAACACTGTTAACCATTACATCAGTGTTGTTTCTGAGGAACATCCTGTTAATCTACTAGTTTGGCAAAGACTGAACTCACTGAAGACACTTTTCCTTAGTGCAGGAATGAGCAATTAATATGTTTTGGCCAGGCATTTACTTGCTCTGTTCTGGCAAGAGGCTTTGTAGTAGCTCCATCTGTGAACACAGATGTGGGAAACAGACATGAATTTCTCCCACGGTAGAGTATTTCATACAGAAACAAGCTAAAAAAGACCAGAGGGGAGAACTAAAATTAACTGCAAAATATATTTAAAATAGTCCATTTGAAGTTTCAGCTATCTTTAAAAAATGGTTACAAATGTGAAAAAAATGAACTAACAGTTTGCACTCTTATACAGTCTTGTGCTTATGATCCATTTTACAAGAATGGAAAATGTTTTCGAACTTTTCAGCGTTCTGTTTCAGATGATAAACTCTTACCAAATTTGAGACAAAGTTTTGGGAAAAAAATGTAATATGACATAAAACTGCAGCTTTCCCAACGTTTCCTTTATGCTATCATATTATTTCATTCAGCAAACAGAATGAATATTTAGGGTTGCATTAACTTGCAAATTTTTGCAAACAATATGAAAAGTGGAAAAAAATAAAAAAGAAAAATCAAGTTTAGTTCTTTCCAATTAATCACCATCCTGCAAACAACATTAGAAGGTTTTAAAGTTGTGACGTTTGTTATTTTTCTTAATGAAGAAGCAGATGTCAGACTGTTCTTCCATTGTTGTGTAGAGGTGATGAGGGGAGGAGAGAGAGTGCAGGGAACACATGGACCATCATAATAGTGTTGCTATTTAAGAATAGCAGCTTCCTTTTCAACATGCAAGGCATGTATTCCAAAGTGAGTAGCTGTATACCAGAGAAATCAAAGAATCAGTGTAATGCCTCATTATGGGCTTCTAGTGCCTTTGATATGCCTGCATGTACCCGAGTCATGCACACAGTGCTGCCAGACAAGATTCAGGATTAGGGAAGTTACATGACTTTCTGGACCAGCAACTGAAATATTTCAACACAACGTGAGTAGTAGTTACATGTGTTTATAGGCTGCAATCAAATTCACAGTCATTGGAAACTTGAGAGCTGTCTTGGCTAGCCAACCAGGAGATAACTAAATTAGTGTGAGCTGAATGTGATGAATTTATAAAACATAAAAAATGCTAAATAGTTATTTAGATTACTTACAAAAAGAGAAAAAAAATCTAGTTACTTAAATGGCTTTACAGATTTTTTTTTTCTATCTATAGGTTAACTGGGAGCTTTGTACCAGACTTAATTGTGAGCATGAGCAATCAGATGTGGTTGCACCTTCAAACGGATGAAAGTGTGGGATCAATTGGTTTCAAGGTTAACTACAAAGGTAATGATACAACACTGGTGTACCAAAAATTAAGACAATATTATGAAATGTTTTTCTTTCATATTAGTGGATGAATTCTATTTCCAGTTCTTTCAGTTTTAAAAACAGGAAAATGCAAGCCGAATTTAAAAAAAAATAGAAAAAAGTTAATTTATTCTCTTAAAGGTCTTATGTCACATGAAACTGCACAGCTTTTATTTGCTGTGTTCTTACAGCAGTTGGGTTTTGGCGTATAATTTTACCTTTATTTTATGGTATTTAATATTGAAAAATATTTAAATGAAGTAATTATTTGATTATTTAAAGCTAATTGTGTAAAAAAAATGAATACTTCCTACATTTTTTTTGAAAATTAATTATGCCTATCACAACAGAAAAAAAACAAAACAAAAACACTTCAAGTGAAGAACTCGAATTTCTGCTGAGCTTGAGCCAAGACAAAGGAAAACTTACCTAATAATGTTCTTTATGATCTTCAAGTGCATAATGCACAATATAAAACAGCTGTTGCTATTTGACATTTCTGGGAGAATAAGCAGTTTTTACAGACTATGAACAGCAAAGTCAACCAAAGACTAAAGTACAACATATACATGCATATATATGCAGTTCTATATTATTACAGAATTAGTTATGTTTATTATTCTTATACTACATTTAACAGAGCTGTATGTATTCTTGTAAGAATTTTTTTAATTGAATGGTTTCTACCTACCACCCAAACCAGATAATAGAAAGTGTGATTATTCAACAGAAAGGGAGAGGGGAAAGACAAAAGTTAAACCAGTGACTGCGTGTATTAGAAATGGAGCTGATGTTGCTGAGAATGGGAAAATGGAGTGAATAGGTGTACTGAGAGTAAACCTATACAATGTGACTTGCTGGCTTTTTTTCTGTCCATAACTTTCCTTTGGCTTTCCACGTCTATTAAGCCCCATAGTGGTATGGCATGAATGCACTTCGCTCTTAATATCTTGTAGACTAAGACAGAAAGATCTTAGTACTTTTCTGTATGGTGGCCATTAAGAACAAGGATTTCCACATTCCAGCTGTTGAAAGGGGGAAGAAAAATAAATAATATAAACAAGTTTAAGAATTTGTTAATATAGCAAAACTTGAAACATAGCTGAGTAAAAAAGGAAGTGTTTTAGATCTGAACTCCAAATAATCTGCACAGGTTAAGTTGTTGATTCTATTATTTACAGGATTCTTTTCTGGTAAAATTAATTTTGCTTGCAACAATTTTAGTTTGCAGAAGGCACAGGATTATTGTCTATTCTTATAATGTTCTACTATGTCTTGTTTTATTCATGAGTTACATTTATTCTTAGAAGCTATAGTTCTGCAAGAATAAAATTAATCGAATATGAATAGTTAGAAGGATACAGAAAGGGTGAACATTCATAACAGCATCTCTATATAATCAATTTTGTGATTGTGTACCTAGATATTGAGTCTATATTTCTTTCTTGTCTTACAATGGTAGTTTACACTAGTTCACTAAATAACACTTGAATGCATCAGGCATTCAGTGGGATAGATACTGTGTGGTGGGGCTTGTTTTGGGTTTTTTTTTGCTTTGTTTTGGTTTGGTTTTATTTTGTGGGTTCCCCCCCCCCAATCCAGAATATGAGATAATTTTTTTATATAAATTGCCTTCACTTAGATCCCTGAGAGGATGTATTCATTAGAGAAATAGTGGGCAATGTTCTTAAAACGAAATGGGAGGAGTAGCAAGGACAAGTCAGGTTTGAAGCGGTTGCTATTTCTGTTGTTTTTCCTTTGTGTTGAAGTTCTTTCTTGTAAAGATGGTAAGCTCTGAAAATGTGTAAATGGATAGTATTTTGGATGATCAGCTATTCTGAAATTTAAGTTTTGGAAATAATGAATTGGAAGATGAGAGAAAGTCCAGTGAGGTAAACTGAGCATTTATGTTAGAACAATGTATTCAGGGCTATGACAGAACTCTGAATTCTTTATAGAATCAAAGAATTGCAAAGAATTTTCTCTTTTCAAAGATTTTTAAGAATTACTTGAAAGAATGATGATTTCTAGGAGTCAGGGTCAGAAGACATTTTAATTGATTTCATGAATTATTAATTATTAATTTTGTGAATTACTCCCAATTGCTAAGTTGAGCATACAAGTACAAGTACACCCAACTTACTTGCACATCTCTTGACTAGATCAAATTCTGTTCCTTTAACTTGTCCCACCTCACAAATTTCACTATCCAATTAGACACCTAATTATGGCTGATTCTGTATCTATTTATGTCTTATATAATAAGGTCTTGCAAGTTTCTGCTTACATCAAAGGTACAATTAAATTAGTATTTTAGATTAGATTCAGCAGTTTGATTTTTGAATGGAATCTTCTTCTGATCATTCTCACTGTCCTTGTTTTAGTTTCCATCATGGAGCAATCTTGAAAGGCACAAATTACACTTGTTTGAGGTAATTCATAATATGCAATTTAATAGCATCCAACTCCTAATGGGCATTTATCAGGACCTTATAAAGCTTTTCCAAAGTAAAACCACTAAAACATAATTAAATCCTCGTAGATAGTATAGATACTGTATCTTTTATTATTTCAATTTACAGACCTGCTTATATTGGAGTTAATTAGTTGATATTGTACTTGATAACAGTACCTACTAACAGCTAAAATAATTTATCACTAAATGGTTTTGATGCCTAAATATCTGCTTTAATGCTTCTGAGACTCAGCTAACTGGAGGTAGTGGAGATGTACATGCCTCATTCCATCAAAATTCATAAGGACATTCTTCAATGTAATTGACATTTAGTTCTGAGTCTGGTAGACATTTTAAAAATATAGATTGTTCCAAATCCTACATGGAATATGATAGAAGGAAGTAAAGGTCATTACCCAGTGCCCCTCAAAATGGTATACTTGCTCAAGGTGTAAGATAGAAGGTCACCTCCTTTCTGGCTGGAATAGAATTGAATATACCCTACCATTTTTAATTATAGAAATAGACAAATAAATTTTTTAATACCTCCACATTTATCAGTTTTCAGCTGAGTAATTCCTTTAAATTTATGTTATTATAGGAAGTAATATTTTATTCACTTTTATGTATCTGACATTTGAGACAATCTAGTAAGTTTCTCTGAAATAATAAAATTATGTGTCTATTGTACATTATTATGTGTCTACTTGTACATTAAGATGTTGCGTATGGAGTTATTTTATGGTTTTAATAGCTAGATCCCATTGTAATTATTTAAATATAAAAAATAGATATAAATATTGGAGAAAGTATTTTAAAGTAAATAAGTGTTCATTGTTGTTTTGAAATTCCTTTTACAGTAACCCATAGAATAAAACTAATTAGGAAGGTAGAATAATGAATATCAGGATTGGGTAGGACAGAAATACAAGCACTGCCTTACTAGAGATGTATTTTACCTGTTATCTCACTTGTATAAGCTTTGTTTGTTTGTTTGTTTGTTTGTTTATAGGGTTCAAATATATATATCGTTTTATTAAGTAAAAGCATGGAATATTTAGAAATCTGAAATTTTAAGTTAATTATTTTCAAATCATAATTTTGGGGATTTTTTTTTTTAATTACTGTTCACAAGTTGCATGAATACTTTGGATCCTTCGGTATTTCAGAAAATGGTGCCGTATTGTCACAGTAGCACTTCTGTTCCCAAAGCCATGGTGAAGAGGAAAGAAGCACTTATCTAAAAAATAGAAGAGAGACAATGTCCAACATATTCAAACACTGGAACTGAATGGTCTTCATCTATAATTGAATAAAAAAGAGCTGCAAAAAATACAAGACAAACAAATAAAACCATGGCATAGCCTTCAAACACTAGAAACCCAATTTTGTGAAGTAAGATTTTGGAGAATTGTGAGTATATTTAAATTCACAAAAACCCTTGAGAATCTAGCGATGGAATCTTACAGTTCTTGGAAAACTATACATGAGAACTTTAAATGCAATAGCTTTCATATACACAAGCTTCCTTTTGTAACTTTGGACATATGTGCAAGATTAAATTCAAAATATTCCTTATACAGTTTTTCAAAAAAACCTGTATGACAGAATTTGTGGAATTAAAATATAATGTAAATAATGATGATGTAAATTAATAGAAAAAAAGGTATTTTAAGAAATGAAATCAGTAATGTAAACACAGTGCAAAACTATTCTGTATTAGGACCATGTGGGAAAGCTGAACTTCTGTTTAGGTCAGATTTGAGTTCTCTGAAACAGAAGAAAATATCCTCAGGGCAGTCTGATTCTGTTGGGTCCTCTGTTTCTGAGCTGTGGCCAAATCTGAGGGAATTTTTTTTTTTTTTGTGTGGTGTCTTGGTTTTTTTTTTCCCTAAATAACTGGCTACATGCTCTTTAAGACCTCTTAAATCAGTAGGTTCTTCTGATAGTTCTACCTCCTATCAGGACAAAATCTGTACAATAATACATCAGATATACTCTAATCTAATTGTTTAAGAAAATAAAGTTAAAGAAGGTTACGTTGACTGGAGAGTAATGATAAGTTGTAGAAGAGGATTGTTTAATATGCCAAGTTAGGTGGGAGTGTAGGTAAAAAATGAATTTAAAGCAAAGTAGACTTGCTTATTCAATTTTCTGCATCGATGATCTAATTTTAGGATATGGGATTTACACTCTGACACCCAGTATTTCAAAAGATTTCTTTTTGCTTAAAGCATGACTTTCATGTTGCTTCAACCACTGTGGCAGCCTGGGGTAGCCTTCTGGAGTTCGTGATCCGCATTTTCATCCTATTTTCCTAGCAGTAAGCACTGAGTTGCAGACACATCTGAGGTTTTTTGTCCCAGATGGCACAGAGATATTTTTCCATGACTAACTGCTCAACAGCCTTTGCTTTTTTACTCGTGACAGAATACTGAATGATCTGAATTATGCATAGTTTAATCCATTGTTAGTCCTCTAACTAAGTCTGGAAACATGAATTTCAGACATATATGTGAAA